TATATTTATCCCTCCAGGGATATGGGTTGTTACAACTAATTATTACCTCTCATATCTTTTTGCTTTAAGTTGGTAAACCAAAAAGTTATAGAACTAAACGGATATGCAATTAATAGAAAAAAAAAATAAAAAATAAAAAAAAAAACAAAAAATGAAGAGTAGATATTGTAGTTGAGATTTTCGATCATGGATGATTTTCTCGAACTATAATATTATTTTTATATTTTTTTATTAAGAAATTAATTGTCATTATTTTCAAAAAGAAAAAGAAATTAATTTACATAAATATTTTGGAGGTGATGGATTTAATTGTAGAACAAGCAAGGATGAAAAGGTAAGCATAACCATATAATATTTTAATTGGGTTTTTTTTAGTACTATATATAATTATAATTATAATTATAATTAGAAATAAAGTATTTTTTTTAAATTTTTTTAAAAATAAAAAACTACCATGTTGTGTTTTTTATATTATTTATATATAAAAATTATTATTTTATATAAATTTCTCTGTTAAAAATATATATTTAAATAAAATATATTTTTTTTATTAGGACATTTCAACCAAATAATAATACTCTACTTTCGTAAATAATTTGGTTACTTCCCAAAAATAAATTTATATTTAAAATATTAAAATAATTACCAAATAAACTAATAAAAACATTAATTTATTACATCAATAATTGAATTAGCTCAAATGACTACCCATTAAAAATAAAATACATACATATATACGTGTATATATATATATATATATATATATATATAGGCAGCAAAGTAATGAGTATAGAATCTCATACAATTATCAAAGGAAAAAAAAAAAAATGGAAGGACAAAGTGGTGAAATTTTAAGAGACGAAGTAGAAATTAAAAGTTCAGCTGATGAATTTTTTGAGTTCTTCTGGAAAAAAATGTATAAATTACCAGAAATTCATCCAGAAAGATTTCGAAGTATTCAATTACTCGAAGGTCAGTGGGGAGAACAGGGTGCTGTTCTCCTTTTTCTAACCATTCGGCCCAGTAAGTTTCTAATTTAATTATATATATATATATATATATTTATTTCAATTTAATTCTTAATATTATTTTTAGAACAAATGAATTTGGTTAAAATAATATGTAATTTGATCATTTATAAGTCAATATTTATATTTATTTATGTACTACATATAAAAATATATATATATATATATTTATAAATCAAAATGTTTATTTTTTATTATTTTCTAATATAAAAAAATTAAAATAATTAGGTTGTGTGTGAATGTAAATGTGCAGATAAAAATAATAATTTTTACTAATAAATTAATAACAATATTATGAATATTTTTTCTGCTATTGATTTAATTAATTAGTTAAAATATTTAAATATAGTATAATAATATTAATTTTACAGCCTAATTTGATAATTTATTTTATAATTAATTTATTAAAGAAAATAATATAATTATTTAATCTATTCTTATAACTTTTTTTTTTTTTTTAATTTATGAAATAGACGGAGAACTTCGCACTACGACACGAGTTATAGAATACATAAATTATAAAAAGAAGAAGGCAGTTAACAATGTGATCGCTGGAAATCTTCTGGACGAATTCAGGTATTTCAATATTATTCAGAATGTTGTTTCTAAAGATAAAAAAAAAGGTAGCGTGGTGAAATATACGTTCGAGTACGAGAAGTTGAATGAGCAAGTTGCAGATCCAACCTTATTTATGCAGAACGAAATTGAAACCGCAAGACGAGTTGATGAATACCTTACGAACAATAAAAATTAGTCTATTTCGGAAATAAAAAGTTTAAGATTTATCGTCGAGCAATATTTGTAAGTAAATAAATAAATAAAAATATGTAAATAAATAAATGTAATCTTTGCTCAAATTTATATTTCTTTCTCGCTAATATTAATTAAGAAATAAATTATGTAATGTTGTTATAAAAGTATATATTTATGTATTCAATGATAAAAATATATCCATTGTATATGCAATAGTCTCGCGGTCGAGAGAGAGAGAGAGAGGGAGAAGAGAAGAGGAGACAGCGGGCGGGAGAAAGAGACGGAGAGATTGGCGAGTGAAGTGGAGATTCGGCGTGCCGAGAAGAAGAGAGGGAGAATTCGATGGTGAGCTTTCCTTCGTGAGTCTCCTAGTCGTGCCGTACATCATTACAGAAAAGAGGAACACTCACGCCGCCGCTGCAAGTCGGAGCGTCACAGATCTAGGGTTTACTCTTGGTAAGAATGGTATTATCTAGTTACAGATGTTTGTTCCGTTTTTTTATTCATATACTCGCGATTTAAGGGTTTGAATCTGCCGATTGATTTTTTGATTTGTGGTTTGATCTGATCGTCGCTGATTTAGGTTTTTCTTAACCGATCGATATCGGTTCGAGAGTTGGGGAAAGTCTCAATGTTATTATTACTAAATTTCCAGAATGTTAGGGTTTTAGATGATTTTGATTTAAAGGTTTTATATCGTTCTAGAGTCAAATTGTTTCGGATTTGGGCGTTTTAATAGTTTCCATTGGGTTCTTGGTATGATGATTATGAGTCCGGTGTGGGTAAGTCTGTAAAACAGGATTGAGGGCTACTTAGTTTTTTAAAATCCTCGGAATTGACTGAAACAAGTGAGAGAGTAACCATTGCACAGGTTTTTGTGTATATTAAACTTGTTTTCGTCATGCATCTGCTTGAATGTGTGTACCGTGTATAAATTGTGTGAACATTTTATGTATATAACTGTAAATAAGCATGTATTTGCGTGTGGAATATATATGTATATACATGTTATATGTGTGTGAATGCGTATATACATATATATCCTGAGTATATGGTGAGTGTGAGAATTTACATATATATTATTGTGAGTGTGAGTGAGTGTACATATATTTGTATAAATTATCCATGTGTGTAACGGTCACGGAAATTAAAAGAAAACATATATATAAAATTTTAAGTGCGGAAGTGAAATAAAATATTATGATTAACATTCATTACGCAATAACTAAAACGTATTAAACATATGAAAGAATAAGTTAATTAAAGTAAATATTAGAAATGAATATTATAAGGAAAACTATAAAATCTTTAGGCATCTATTCGCCGTCTTCCTGCGGAACGGGGTCAGGAATCAAATCCTCCTGAACTGAAATGGTTAAGTAAAGAATGAGCTATACTAGCCCAGTAAAGATGCCACACTATCTCACTGTCACATAAATAAAGGTTGGTAGAAAATAAAAGCGACCAATGGAGCATAATTTATAACAAATTCATTTATCAATAATAAAATCCTTTACTGTTCACTTACCTCGGTGAGATTCATGAAAACAACTTATGAAAACAATAACATTATAATATCATGAAATCATTCGCATTCTGTAACATAACACATGTCATACTTTTAATATTTCAATCATCAAGCAACAAATTTCTTATTTTACCAGTCTACCAGTATCTATGAGGATCCATAGGGGTCCTTGCTATACGTGAACCATTCACCTTAATAACTAACTCCAGGGTCGTCCCCATACCCCGTCCGGTATGGGCGCCAAAAGCATAAACCTCATTATCCCGTCCGGCATGAGGGTGAAGTAGGCTGTCCCCATACCCCGTCCGGTATGAGCACCAAAACATTTAAAGTCTCAATACCCGGTCCGGTATGAGAGACAACGTTCCCGGTAGGGTTCTCTATGGACCCGGTCCGTATATCATCTCCCAAGATATTTAGTGAGGCTGTCGACTTATCCATTTATCAATTCACATATTTTTTTTATTCTTTTCTTAGTTTTCTGTTTCTCACATAATCATGAATATTTAAACCAGTAACGAGCATCCAACAATGCAGGCATATCATCGGATTCACAAAATTAAGCAATAGTGAAGTAAACAGTGATTTATGCATTCAAAACCATAAAATAAATAGATCAGACACCATAATGCCTTTAAAACTGTGAAATAACTAAAATAGCAACTGATCAAAAATATATCTGATTCGGGTTCCATTAGCAACCTTAATCAATTATACATATCTATTAATTCATAAAATACTGTTTTATCATTTATTAAGCTTTAATACCGTGATAGGAAATAGAGTAAGAGATCCTTACTTGATTCGAAGTCTAAAATCGGTTTTTCACTATGCTTACGGGCAGTCTTTAGATTCCTTGATTTTTTTTTTCGGGAATTGAAACACACTTCCGGTACTTGCACGTGTCCCCAAAAAACTCTAAATCAGACCTGGGCCTCCTCGGCCAATTTTGGAATTCCGGCACTGCAGCTCCGCCGTGCTTCGGCGACTGCAAGCGGCATTGATCCGCCTCAGGTTGGCCGTTTTCGACCGTTTTCGGCTAAACTTGCATTGGTTCCTGTGATAAAATACACGTAAGGCCCTCGGTGGGCCGAAAAAACTCAAAAAATCGAGATTTATCGGCGTCAGAGCTCTTGGGTGCAGCGGCTCCTTTGGCGCGAGTTGCGATTTGGCGTTTTGCTCCAGTCAACCTGTAGAGGAAAAGACAGTGGTCACAATGGTGTAAAAATTACATCAAACGGGAATCGAGAAAGGCCTCATCGGAAGCAAAAATCGAGAAAATCCACGACGGCGCCGTTGGGCTTCGACGGCGTTTTTCGACCAATTGGCCGATGGTTTGGCTTCGATTTGGCCACAGGAGGGTTTAGCATCGAAATCCGAGGCAAGGGGAGAAAATTTACCTCGTTTTGCGGCCGAAAAGTGCTCCGGTGCGGTAGCGGGTGGCGGCGGTTGGTTCCTCGGTGGCTGGGCTGTCTTCTCTGGCGAGGGCTCTGGCGGCTAGGGTTTGGGGTTGGGTGTGGATGAGATTATTTATAACATTCCCCTTTTAATCTGAGCCGTTCACGATTTAATCTGGACTATTCAATCGTGATTAAATTAGAAATAAATATGGGTCGTCCATCGCAATGCGATTTGGGTTGTCCGTGCGTGATTCAATCTGAGCCGTCCGCACGCGTGCAATCTGGGCCGTCCGCGCGCGCGTTTGATCTAGGTCGTCTGTGCGCGCAGGAACAGATCTCAGCCGTCCGATCGCGCGCACGCGAATCGCCCACGTGGCTCGTTCTGTGTGGCCTTCTCGCGTCAGTGTCTCTGCCACGCGGCGTGTCCTGGTTGGTCGGAGCCGCTGTCCGGACTGCTGACGTGGCGCAATTTTTTTAAATTGCGTTTTGATCCCTGATTTTTGATTTTTTATCAAAAACACCCACAGAATTTGAATTTTCACCAATTTTTTCCAAAATTGTTTTCAATTAAACTCCAAAAATAATTTTACCTATTTTTATCATTATTATTATTTTTATTTCCATTAAATTAAATTAAACTATATTAAAATAATTATATTATTACTTAAATAAATAAATAAAAGAAAAAATAAAATAAAATTATAATAATTCCAATAATAATAATAATAATAAAATTAGGGTGTTACAATGTGTGAGTATGTGAGTTTACGTGTATATATTTTATTATGTGTGAGTGTATATATATATATATATATATGTATTGACAAAATTATAAGCCTATCAAGATTCTTGCTAAAAATATAAAGGAAAGCAAGATAAAATGTTGCATGGAGATGAAGAATTGAGAGAAGAGGAAACTCAACTGAACTTTACTGATTTTTGAATGAGGAAGAAACTGATATCGGGCTTCCTTAAGCTATTTATACATCCTCAGAAAAAATCTAAAACAAGACGGTGCCGTTTAGTAAAATATACATACACACGCACGTGACAGAGGCATGTCGCCCATTTCCAGTATTTCTTCTCTGTTCTGATCCTCTACAACCATGCTCATACTTCAACACCCCCTCGCAAGATGGAGAGTACAAATTCTTTGCTCCCATCTTGGTGAGATGCTGTTCTATTGAAGCTGTAGACAGTGCATTGGTTAGAGCATCAGCAACTTGCTCTGCACTCTTCACATAGTCTGTCTTCATTCCACCATCTTGTATTTTCTCCCTAATGAGATGGCAATCCAACGCAATATGCTTCGCTCTTTCGTGATATATAGGGTTTGCTGCAATATGTAGTGCAGTCTTGTTATCACAATGTAAAATTACAACCTGATTATATGTTACCTTTAAGTCAGTCATCAAATACTTCACCCATGTAATTTCACAGCTTGTGGTGGCCATAGCCCTGTACTAAGCTTCAACTGAGGATCTTGATACAGTTGATTGTTTCTTAGATTTCCAAGACACCAAGGAGTCACCTATAAATATGCAGTACCCAATTATTAGTTTTCTAGTATCTGGACAACTTCCCCAATCACTATCACAATTAGCTTTCATCTTTAGTTATGTTTTTGATGGGTAAAACAAACCTTGTCCTACACTGCCTTTAACATACCTCAACACTTTATAAGCAGTTTGCATGTGTTTGTCTCTTGGCTTTTCCATAAATTGTGTAATACCCGAATCCGAAATTTAACATAGGATTCATTTTTAAATTAAAAAAATATATAAAAATATACTTTTTAATTTTATAAATTTTTATTTAATGTAAAATTAAGAAAAAATAGGTGGAGGATGAAATTAAAAATAATTTTGAAGAAAATAAATAAAAATTTAAGTTTAGGGGATATTTTTAAAAGAAAAATAAAAAACTGGGGGTCAAAACATAATTTAAGAAAAATGCACCACGTAGGACTACCTAGTCAGTAATCCTGACGAATCGTAGAGCGCCACGTGGCAGGGCACGCTGACTCGGTGTCACGTGGGAGGCCACACCGGCAATCTACGTGTCTGGATCGGAAGGCCCGGATGCGTTTCCGCGCGTGTGGACGGTCTGGATCTGTCCCCTTCTCAGGTGCGATCGAATGGTTATGATTAAACGCGATGAATGGCTCATATTCGTCCTCTCTTTAAATGCGATCGTACGGTATAGATCAAATAGCGATGAATGGTCAAGATTCATTTTTTATTCAAACGCGATCGGACAGTCTAAATCAAATATGATGAACGACCTAGATTTAAGGAAGACGGATATAAATATCTCACTTCACATCGAACTCTAACCCTAGCCGCCAGCTCCCTATCGGAGAAGAAGAATCAGTCGCCAGATAAGGGAGCTGCCTGCCGCCCGTGGCGGCGCCGGAGCCACCTCCAACCGCCAGAAAAGGTAAAAATTCTCCTATTCGTTTGGAATTTGATTTTGAACACTCCCATGACCAAATCAGAATAAAAGGAACAGCGAATGAGCCAGAAACCGCAGGTAAAGCCTGACGGCATCATCGCAGGCAAAACCAAAAATCATCTCCGATGAACTCCTTTCCGATTTTCATTTCATTCGATTTTTCTACCATTGTATTCACCATTCTGTTTTCTATAGGTTGACCAAAGAAAAAAGTCTAACTGCGAAGGTGAGCCGGCAGAGCCGCTACGCCAGAAAATCTCGCCGTCGGTAAGTTTTTATTTTTTGATTTTTTCAGCCAACCAAAGTTCCTTAATGTATTTTCTCGCATGAATGAATATAAAACCGGTCGAAACCAACCAAAACTGGCCAAAAATGGTCAATCCGAAGCAAACTGCCGCCGTGGGCGGCAGTGCCATCGCCAAAGCACGACAGTGGCATCGTGCCGGAATTCTGAAATTGGCCGAAAAAATTTTTTAACATCGATTTTGGTTTTTTTGGGCACTTCTAGGTACGTGAAGCGTGTTTCAATCTCCGCAGGAAAATTTAAGAAACTCAGGGACCACTAGTAGGTGCAGTAGAAAATTCAGTATTTCGGACACCGATTCAGATAAGAATCCATCACCCTATTCTCTATTATGGAATTGAAGTCTAATTATAAATAATACAGTATTTTGCGTAATTTAAAAAATTTTAATAATTAATTACAGGTTACTAATGGAGCCGTAACCGGTTATGTATTAATGTTTGTCATATTTTAACTGATTGTTTGATCTTATAGTTTTAAATGCATAATAATACATTGGAATTAGTAAGATAATTCAGTTGTGTTTCTTTGATGCATGTATTATTTGTCTTGCGTGATTTATAGTTAATTTGTAAAACTGAAAATTAAATATAAACAGAAAATTGCTTGGTCAAGTGAATGAATGAAACAGTTGTCTTATTGGATATCGTAGGATATGGTGGATGGACTTGGTACATAGGAAACTCTACTGTAAACGTTTTCTCATACCGGATGGGGTATCGAGGAATTATATTTTTGGTGCTTATACTGGACGGAGCATGGGGACAGCCCGATTCACCCTTATACTGGATGATGTATTGAGGGATGGTACTTTTGGCGCTCATACTGGACGGGGTATGGGGACGACCGGTTAGTTGACAAATTTTGTTATGGGTTCACGCGTAGTGAGACATCCCTATAGATCCCCAGAGATACTAGTAAGCAAATAAAAAGAAAAAATTGTTGTTCTGGCTAATTGAATATGAGATTATGATGTTATTTGTGTTATTGCCTTTAGAGGTCGATTTTTAGAAATCTCGCTACAGTAAGTATGCAATAAATGATTTTACTTATGATAAATGAATTTACTTAATTTAAGAGCTTCATTAGTTGTTTTTATAATTTTTACCAACATTCAATTTCTGTATCGATGAGTAGTGTAATATTCTTATTAGGTTACTGTAGTTCACTTTTTCATTAACTATTTCAGATCAAGAGAACCAAGATCCAGATCCCGATCAATGAGGGAGTTGTGAATAGTTAACCACCAGACTCCCTTCAAAGGCTAGTGAAGATCGTCTTAGAATACCTAATTATTTTACTTTTCATTTATTTATTGATTTTTTGCTTGTTCTTTTAGAATGATCATTCTTATATTCCTGTTGAGTATTCTCAATTATTGTGTAAGGAATGTAAAGTCTAACTCTATTATTTTTACTTTCGCATTTAATTTATGATTTTATTTCCTTTTAAGTTTTAGGTCGCTACAAATTGACTGAGTTATTACCCGGAATAGGCCAAATTTGGCATTGTCAGTGTTAAATACATAAGCATCCCCTTTAGTCTCCTGTAAATCACAGAATTAGATAATAATTCACCTTCATCCTTAGATAACCTCAGATTTTGATCTAAAGTTATTTTTAAGGATTTTGATCCTATCATTCCAACTTCTGTCAAGAGATCAATGGCATACCTTCTTTGACACATATATATGCTTTCTTTGGACCTTGCGACCTCTATCCCTAGGAAATATTTGAGGTTCCCTAGGTCTTTAATCTTGAATTGCTCATCAAGAGTTGATTTCAATCTCTCTATTGCTTCTAAATTATCTCCAATTACAATTATATCATCCACATAAATTAATATGGTCGTAAAACTGTCTTCTGTTTTTCTAACAAACAAACTGTAATAAGCTTTTGATAGCTCAAAAGCTTGCTGCAAAATGAATGATGAAAATTTTGCATACCGTTGTCTGGATGACTATTTTAAACCATATATACTTTTCTTCAATCTGCATACTTTGGAACTGTTTTTAATTTGATATCCCGGGGAAGTTCCATGTACACTTCTTCATCTAAATCTCCATGCAAAAAAGCATTGTTTACATCAAATTGCCTAACATGCCAATTATTCATAGTAGCTAATGACAGGATCACCTTACCATGGTATTTTTGCTCACTTGTGAGAATGTTTATGGTATCTAATCTCACTTTTGTGTATGCCTTTTAGCAACAGCCTAGCCTTAAACTTTCAATTGACCATC